TAATTTCAATAATATTGAATTATAAAATATGAATTTTTGAATAGAGGATGAACTCTTAAAATTAAGAATCTTCCTTTTATTTAAAGGTTTTTCTTTTGCAATCTATTATAAATTAAATTATAAAGTAACATACTCTAAAAATTATATTAAAATTTTTTCTTTAACAATTTTGAAAATTTATGAGAAAGCAAAGCGTTTTTAAGTAAATTTGCTTAAATGATATGTCCAACGTGCCCATTTATCACATTACATCATCATGACGTAGGACTTATTTTATTTTATTTTTAGTATTTGTATATAGAGTATTTTTCACACAATTTTTATATATTTTAAAATTAATTTCTTTCTAAATGATTTTAAGTGCATGCTGCTTTAAATTGACCTCATCTTTTTTTTTTAATTATTATATTCATCAAATGGTATCATCAGTGCAATCTCTTCGGCATTGTTTCATTACCTATTTTCAAAAAAAAAAAAAAATCTTTCGTCATTGTTCTGTACCTTTTTTTAATCGTCCAATCTTTCTCTTTTGTACGTAAAGAATTGAGATGAATGGGGAAAATTTTCAAAGTTAGTAGGGAGTTCAGGGACCCCAAGTTTTAAGCTTTAAAGATGAACCATTGTCGATTAAGGTTGGTTCAATTGAATTTACCTCTCCTATTTATTTGTTCATTTGTTCGTTTGTTTGTTTATTTTTTTTTTTCCTTTTTGTTAGAAATATTTATTTGTTTGTTCCCACCAAAAAAGTAATCACGTACGCAACAAACATAGTGGCAAGATTTTCTTTTTCCTGATTATTAATTACTGGTTTTTAAAATGGAAAGTAAAGAGGGGGAGAGACATTTTTTTGGTTAATGCAGGTAAAAAAAATCCGGGCTGTTGATCAATAAAGTTCATCTACCACTAGAAAACCTTTAATTACCGGCTAAATATCACCGAGATGAAAAATTTTGTAGGTAATTAACTTCATTATCGATAAAAATAATGTTTGTACATAATATAATAATGAAAATAATATTAATTTATATTATTTAATTTTCACATGATAATTTTGTTGGTGAAATTAAAAAACACCGACAAAGTATTAGTTTGAAAATGTTCCGATAACCACTTTAAGATGTGAATTTCGTCGGTAAATTATGAACAACCAACTCCACGTCGGTGAGCTAAAATCGTTTGGAATTGAACCGGTCAAATGCTATCCAATGGGAGATGCGAAACTCATCGGTAAAATTTACAAATGACTATCACCTCGGTAAATTTGGTCAATTGTGCAGTCAAACATACCATTAGAGATGTGAGGCTTGTCGGTAAAAGATTCCAAAGTGAATCACGTCGCTGACACTGAAAGCCTGATGTAAAGCTGCTGCACCTCGTCTCCAACACCAACCATAATCCCCGAACCCCCACCCCTCTTGCCTCTCATTTCCGTTGAACCCCCCTTGCCTTCTTTCATGTTCAGCTTTCCCTTCCAGCTCCAGTCTCCTTTTCTTCATTTTTTCGGGCGAGGCAAGTAGCGCGAAATTCAACTTTTTTCTTTTTCACAATTAATAGATCAGGTAGTTGTAAGTGGGGGTTAATGATATCACCATTTCTTATCTATTTTTGTGTTATATCCAAATAGGTTATGCATACATATATTTTGCATTTTTTTTTTTTTTATGGTTTAGGCCATCAAACAAACTTTTCTAGACACAGGTGGAATTGCAATTTTAGCCGTAACTTTTAATATTCCAACATGTGTCTTATCGATAAATTTAAGAAGGGAAATGCAAAATTTTTGTATTTTTACCTCCCGCTTAAAGTGATTTCCTACCTATGTGTATCATGTTGATAAACTCATTTCCGACGTCATACACATAGAGAAGGACGTTTATATAATACCAAAACTCCAGACCCCGTTCAATTTTTCTTTCCTTCCTTCCTTTCTTCTTCTTTCTTCTTTCTCCCTTATCTTTCTCTTCTATCAAATGCTTCCGATTTTTCTTGTTTATAATTATATTAGATTCATGTTATTATTTATTTATTTCTTCTTCATATCCTCTCTTTTCCTCTTCTATTCATTTTTCTTAATTTATTAAACACTAATTTGAGCTATTCAAGTTATTTAGAGTTTTAATTTTCTTTTTTGCATGTTATTTTGTAGGAAACATTTGGAGAAAAACATTGGGCAAATAAATTTTATTCATTTATTTAAAAAAAATTTTCAATCATATTTTGGTTGTATTATTTGGTTGAATTTATATATAAATATTAAATTAATTTATATTTTATCATTTTTTTGTAAGAAATAGTGCTATATGAATATCATATCTCTAATTGAAGTAAATTTTAATTTTTTGATTATGTTTTTCATTTATATTTTATATTTTCTCAATTATCTTTATTTTTTCATTTATGATTTAATCTTTAATTTAAATAAATAGATTGAATAATTCAATAAAGTACAATGAATTTTATGTTTCCTACAAATTAAAAATATATTTAGAAACCTTAATTACCGACGTGAGAAAGATCGGCAACAATGCTTTGACCTCCGTAGGTGGTTTCCCAATGAGTGATTTGCAAACGTGGTCCATGTCGGTAATTTATCTAAATAGTAAGATAAAATATTAAAAGATTATGATTGGTGCACACTCGGATCCAACACCCAAGTGTGCACTCCCCACATAAAAAAAATTGGTATGCACTTGGATCTATTTTTTTTTTTTATGGAGGATGTGCACATCCCGAATGTTGGATTCGGGTGTACACACATCATTTTCCAATATTAAAACATGTTTGGTATCAATGTGAGTTACGTCGGTAAATTACCGACATGACAACTAGCCGATTGTACTTTTCCAATGAGAATATGCAGACTTGATTTTTATTGGTAATGTGGATAGAATTCACTGATGTGATTTTTTCTCACGTCGATGAATGGATTACCGAACAGACTTACACCGACAAAAGATTATCAACGTGATTCAAGTTAGAAACCTGATTTTCCGACGTGCTTTGCCCAATAACCGACATGATTTCTCATCAGTAAATCAAAGCATTCTAGTAGTGATTAGCTAATTAAGGTGCTTGATTACCTTCTTTTTTTTTAACAATAAATGATGGATTGTTTGATACTTACTAATTTGAAGATTTTAATATAAATTAAGATAAAAAAATTTAAATTTTTATATTATCAAATAACTAACTTTTCAATATACCAAAAAAATCTATATATATATAAGACAAAAAACTTTCCTTTTTTTTTTCCAAACTCTTTTTTCTCTCAATTAATAATTTAAATTTAAATTTTCTAATATAAAATTTTAAGTTCTTCACTAATTAATTAAGTGTCTAATTACTCAGCTTAAGAAAAATCCAGCCTCAAAATCTTTATGCTTTCACTATTTTTGTTCAACTCTAATCGGCATACTTACTACAAAATACTAGTATTTAAAATGTTGAACATGAACTTGAATAGCATAGTAATCTCTCCTTTAAATGGTGTATGAAATTTTTAATTGAGTTATAAGCATGTAGGTGAGGAGAATAAAAGATGAAAGAAAATTAATTAGCTCCTATTGTAAAATTAAAAATTT